TGATTCCGACTCACAGAGGTCCTTGTCGGACAGAGTAGAACCACTCGAAACCACAATGAAACGGGTAGGCTTTTGTTTTAGAATCTTTAAAATAGAAAAGAATGCTATGTGTTTGTCATTTTTATGCATCTAAGGGCACAGATTCCCACCAATGGTAGTGGATGTATGATTGAATGAAGTGTAGGCCACTGTTTTATAGCAGCTGATCATGTCCCTTTGGTAAGCAGTGGCATGACTGGGAACAAGAGCCCAGTCTACATTCCATGTGGTCAGGGTGCTTTGGCCTGGAGTGGTAAGTGGTGCACTTGGGAAACAGGCCCTTTATTGCCTTCATGGAATGGGCTTATATTTCAGGCACCACTGGGGAGTCGGGTTATACTCCTGATGGGAAATAAGACACTTACTTGTTGTGGTGCAGAAAAGTCTAGGGGAGAAGTGTCAACACAGTGGATGAGCACACTCCGGCACCATGCTTGACCATTTCCCCAACTCTGTATACTAGAGAAATATTGTTCATGAATATGGATTATTGTGTGTGAGAAGTAGAGGTCAGAGAGTTGTTTATATCTTGATTTGTGTGTGTGTGTGTGTGTGTACATTGGATCTTGGGTCAAAGCAAATAATTCCAGAAAGATGTTTACTTGTGTTTTATTGGCTATGCAAAAGCAGTTGATTGTGTGGATCATAACAAATTGTGGATAACATTGAGTTGTTGTTGTTGTTGTTGTTATGTGCCGTCAAGTCAAACCCGACTCATAACATTGAGAAGAATGAGAATTCCAGAACACTTTAATTGTACTCATGAGGAACCTGTACATAGACCAGGAGGCTATTGTCGAACCAAACAAGGGGATATTGCATGGTTTAGAGTCAAGAAGGGAATGTGTCAAGATTGTGTCCTTTCAGTATACTTATTCAATCTATATGCTGAGCAATAATCTGAGAAGCTGGATTATATGAAGAAGAACGTGGCATCAAGATTGGAGGAATAATCATTAACAACCTGTGATATGCTGATGACACAACTTTGCTTGCTGAAAGTGAGGATGACTTGAGGTACTTACTGATGAAGATTGAAGAATACAGCCTGCCATATGAATTACATCTCAATATAAAGAAAGCAAAAATCCTCACAACTGGACCTATAAGTAGCATCATGATAAGTGGAGAAAAGATTGACATTGTGAAAGATTTCACATTGCTTGGTTCTACAATCGATGCCAATGGAAGCAGCAGTCAAGACATTAGACGACGCATAACACTGGGCAAGTTGGCTGCAAAAGACTTGTTTCAAGTGCCGAGGAGCAAGAATGTCTCCTTGAGGACCAAAGTGCTCATTGACAAATGGACAAATTTGACCACTGTGTCAAATATCATGACACAAGCCATGATATTTCCAAGCACCTCGTATGCATGTGAGAGCTGGACAATGAATAAGGAAGACTGAAGAAGAATTGATGCTTTTGCGTTGTGGTGCTGGCAAAGAATGCTGAAAGTACCGTGGACTGCTAAAAGAACTATAAATGTCCTGGAGGAAGTGCAGCAGAATGCTCCTTGGAAGCAAGAATGGCCAGACTTCGTCTCACCTACTTTGGTCATGTTATCAAAAGGGACCATTCCCTGGAGAAGGATGTCCTGCTTGGTAAGGTGGAGGACTGATGAAAGAGGGGAGGGCCCTCCACGAGATGGATTGACACAGTGGCTGCAGCTATGGGCTCAGGGATGGTGGAGCTGGCATGCGACTGGGTGGTGTTTCATTCTGCTGTGCATAGGGTCACTATGAGTTGAAGACGACTTGATGGCACCTAACAACAACCACCACCACATTCAAGGCCATTTGTATAATCAGTAAAACACGGGGAAACATCCTTCTGGTATTGTCTGCTTTCAACCAGGATTTATCTGACATTAGCAATGATGACCTCCTTCCATATCCTCTTCTGAATACGCCTTGAATTTCTGGTGGTTCCCTATTGATGTAGTGCTGCAGCTGCAACTCCTTCTGAATTATATTCAGCAACATTTTACTTGCATGTGATAGTTACAATATTGTTCAGTACTTTCTGTATTCTGTTGGGCCACCTTTCTTTGAAATGGACCTTCCAGCCATTTTGTCAACTAGCTATCTTCCAAGTTTCTTGGCATAGACAATTGAACGTTTCTAGTGTTCTTTCCATTTGTTGAAACATCTCCTGGGTATTCCTTCAATTCGTAGAGTTTTGTTTTTCACCAACTCTTTCAGTGAAACTTAGACTTCTTCCTTCAGTACCATTAGTTCTTGATCTTATGCTACCTCATGAAATGGTTGAGCATCGACTGACTCTTTTTGGTGTAGTGACTTTATGTATTCCTCCCATCTTCTTTTGGTTCTTCCTGTGTCTCTCAATTTTTGCCCGTGTAACCCTTCAGTATTGCAATACAAGGCTTGAAAGCTTTCTTCAGTTCACTCAGCTTGAGAAATACCACGTGTGTTCTTCTCTTTTCTAACTCCAGGTCTTTGTCATATATGTGTGTACATATATGTGTGTGTGTACATATAGATATATAGATTGATATGTATGTATATGTCTGTATACATGTATGCATATACATATATATGTATATGTGTGTGTATATATGTATGTACACACATATATATGAAAGAAATGTGTCCTGAGAGCCAGTTATCTTCCAAAAAATTATTATATATGTGTGTGCATTCAGAGAAGGGCATTGGTCAAAAGTCTAAGTTTAGTTTAGGAGCTGGGTACTCTAGAGATAAAAGTTATCTGAAACACAAATAAGGACCATCTACCAAGGCAGACCACAGGGGCAGAAGTGGAGATGGGGCCTGGAGAAATGTCCCAACCCATTAGATTGTGGTCCCCACATCTCCCTCTGGATGCAGGAAGGCTGGACACTTGGGGAATGTGAACATAAGTGACTCTGGCTGGCAGTTGTGAGAAGGAACATCTGTTAATAAAGACCATGGACACCTTGAACTTCCCTTTGGCCCTACACCAGTACCCCAGGGAATAGAACAGGGGAAGGAAGCGGTGTCATTAAGTAAGGACTCTTGCTCACTGGTTCCTCATAAGAGGTCTGAGAGAAGGCCAATGGGGAATGAAGTCTGCAGGTCAAGGCAGAGATTAGAACCTGGACCTCACCTGGTAGCTGGCAAAAAATGTTCTACTATTGAGGTGGGAGGCCGTCCCGGTCTCTTCACTGACAGACTCCAGTTGTAGGGCTAGTGTCCACACAGCCTCAGTGGGACTCCTGCTCAGTATAATGAGCAGATCTGGTAGAAACATAGTTAGCACTTCTCCGAAAATGGGCCATTTGAGAGCCAACTGTCTGAGGATAGAGACAATGACCATCTAGTAAGTATGAGCATTTGATAAAGTCGACTAAATTCACTTTGGCTGAATTTAATTCCTCTCTATTAGAAAATATTAAAGTGTCTTCAATCCGTGTATATTAAACAACTACTATATATGAACAACAAAATGAAATAAACTTCAGGGAGTGTGCAGTCTGTGAAAAAGATGAAAGTGTAATCAGGTGATTCTCTTTCAACGCAGCATGCCAAGTTGCCAAAGAGTAGCATCTTCAAAGGCTCAGAAGAGACAAAAGAGAAGTCATTTCTCAGGGAACTCACGAGAGGCATAGAGCAGATGGAGTTCTCAGAGATGGTGGAAAGTGTACTGGTGTGAATGCGGCTGCAGAAATGGGAAGTCAAGAAGAATTGCTGAAGAGCAAGGATACTCCCGTTTAATGAGAGTATAGCTTTTGGGGAAAAGGAGGATGTAAGCTTGCTGCTATATTTGGTCAGGGAAGAATACATAAGGTCTTAAATATCAAGTTAAGGAGTTTGCTTTTTATTCAGTAGGTTTTTATTTGGCTGGTTTTTTATTTTGTTTTATTTTGGGTGCCCCAAATAGTCAAGGATTTGAGCAGAGGATGGATGGCCAACATTAAGGATTTTATGATGTGAATTCATCAGAGATAGTGACTTACAGAACCTCTAGTATCTTGTCTCTGAATTCGATTGTTTTCATTGTGGTCAATTCTAACAACTTGCCTCATAATTTTGCTTTGGCTCTTGCATTCAAGATTATTGTTAATAGATAGTGTTCCTTAATAGCAGTGCTAAATCGGTTCCTGGATTTTATCACTGATCATCTTGGGCGTTAATTAATTTGTTGGTGTCCACGTGCCCCACCATACTTGTTGTTCTTAAGCCAGGGAAGAGAAAACTCACTGCTATGGAGTCAGATCCGACTCACAGCAATCCTGCCTTGGGTTTCTGAAGCCTTATCACTATGGAAGTAGATTGCCCAACCTTCCTTTAGAGGAGTGGCTGGTAGGTTTGAACCTCCAGCCTTCTGGTTATTGATCAAATGCCTTAGGCACTATGCTACCAGAGAGAGCTCCTAGGGAAGAGAAAGGAAACCTAAAAACACTTATCTGTGTCATGTACTGGATCAAGTTCCTTAGGTCTATAGCACCTGGTGGTTAGTCCTCCTCCACAGCACTGGTGGCCCCGTGATTAAGTGCTTGACTGCTAACTAAAAAGTCAGAGGTTCAAACCCACCAGGAAGATGTTGCATTGTTCTTCCGTAAAGATTACAGCCTTGAAAACCCTTTCAGGCAGTTCTTTTTGTCCTATAGGATCAGTATGAGACAGAAAGGTTTTTTTTTTTTTTTTAAAAAAATCCTGTTTACAAAAGAGAAAATAGGTACTCAGACAAATGATCTTGTGTGAGATCATTATGCTAGTGATGTATGAAGTCAGGATCTGAACCCAGTCCATTTTGACTTGTTCTTTTTCCAGTGGCTCACATTACCTCTCTTGAAAATGAGTAACAAACACTTAGTCCTTGAATGAATTAGTGAATACATAATTGAACTGCCAACCATATTTACCTTAAACTTGATTGATCCAGAGAAGAGGAGGGTTGTAACTGCCTGGAATGTGAGTGTCCAGTCTTGAAAGACTATCATTGCTGTTGGTCTGTGCAGCAGGCGGGCCCCGGCGCACGGCAGTATCCTCGACTGGCGTCGCTCCTGGGGATGGCGAGCAAGGCGCTACTGCTCCTGGTGTCTGCCATCAACCGCAGGAGGATGAAGCTACTGCTGGGCATCACCCTGGTTGCCTACATTGCTTCTGTTTGGGGCAACTTGGTTAATATGAGGTCTATCCAGGAAAATGGTGAACTGAAAATTGAGAGCGAGATTGAAGAGATTGTTGAGCCATTAAGAGAGAAAATCAGAGACTTGGAAAAGAGCTTCATCCAGAAATATCCACCAGTAAAATTTTTATCAGAAAAGGACCATAAGCTAATTTTGATAACCGGAGGTGCGGGGTTTGTGGGTTCCCATCTAACTGACAAACTAATGATGGATGGCCATGAGGTGACAGTGATGGACAACTTCTTCACTGGCAGGAAGAGAAACGTGGAGCATTGGATTGGCCATAAAAACTTTGAACTTATTAACCACAACGTCGTAGAACCCCTCTACATTGAAGTTGACCAGATATATCACCTGGCATCGCCAGCTTCCCCTCCAAACTACATGTATAATCCTGTCAAGACGTTAAAGACCAATACAATTGGGACATTGAATATGTTGGGGCTGGCGAAACGAGTTGGTGCCCGTCTTCTCCTGGCCTCTACCTCTGAGGTGTATGGCAATCCTGAAGTCCACCCTCAAAGTGAGGATTACTGGGGCCATGTGAATCCAATAGGACCCCAAGCCTGTTACGATGAAGGCAAACGTGTTGCAGAGACCATGTGCTATGCCTATATGAAGCAGGAAGGAGTTGAGGTGCGAGTGGCAAGAATATTCAACACCTTTGGGCCACGCATGCATATGACTGATGGGCGGGTTGTCAGCAACTTCATCCTGCAAGTGCTTCAGGGGGAGCCACTCACGGTATATGGATCTGGATCTCAGACGAGAGCATTCCAGTACGTGAGTGATCTCGTGAATGGGCTTGTGGCTCTGATGAACAGCAATGTCAGCAGCCCTGTCAACCTGGGGAACCCAGAAGAACACACGATCCTAGAATTTGCTCAGTTAATTAAAAACCTTGTTGGTAGTGGAAGTGAAATTCAGTTTCTTTCTGAAGCCCAGGATGACCCACAGAAAAGGAAACCAGATATCAAGAAAGCAAAGCTTATGCTGGGATGGGAGCCTGTGGTCCCACTGGAAGAAGGTTTAAATAAAGCAATTCACTACTTCCGGAAAGAACTTGAGTACCAGGCGAATAATCAATACATCCCCAAACCAAAACCTGCAAGAATAAAAAAGGACGGACACGCCATAACTGAAAACCCCACTCCTGGTACCAAATGTGTTGGATTGGGTTCTCTAGAGAAACACAAAAACCAGCAAAGTGTATATATATATATATTTATAGAGAGAGAAAGAGAGAGAGAGAGAGATTTATCTTAGGTAAATGGCTCACAAGCGTGTAGAAGCCGACAAGTTCAAGCTGAAAAGTTCATCTCTGGAGGGGG